CTCGCTGCCCAGGCGGGTCTCGAACCCGCGGGCTCAGGCAATCCACTCACCTCAGCCTCCCAAAGGCGCGGGATTACAGGCTGAGCCACCAAGCCCGGCAGATGGTTGCAATCTTATGATGAAACTTGAATGGATGAGTAGTGCCTTCTCATAAATGAGCAAAGAAAGTGGTTTCTTGAGATGGAATCAACTCCTGGTGAAGATGTTGTGAGCATTGTTTAAATGACAACACAAGATTTAGAAGAGTGTATAAGCTTAGTTGATAAAGCAGCAGCAGGGTTTGGGAAGACTGACTCCAATTTTGAAAACATGCCTACTTGGGTAAATAGTTATCAAACAACAGTAGATGCTACAGAGAAATATCTCAGAAAGGAAGAATCAAATCAATGTGGCAAATTTCACTATAGTCTTATTTTAAGAAATTACCACTTCAGCAACCACTGCTTGATTAGTCAGCAGCCATCAACATTGAGGCTGCTTCAATGTGGCCTTCACCGACAAAATATTACAACTTCCTGTGCTGAAGATTCACGATTGTTAGCATTTTTAGCAGTAAAATACCATTTTATTAAAGTATGTACATTGCTTTTCATACATAATGATATAGTATACAGTATAATGTAAACAAAATTCCTATATGCACTGGGAAACAAAAAAAAATTGTATAACTTGCTTTCAGCAATATTGATCTTATTGAAGTAGTTTGGAATGGAACCAGGAGTATCTTTCAGGTTGAGTGTAAATATTTGGGTAAATCATCATTTTTTTATCCTTTTCATAAGCAAGATCATCAATGTTCATAAATGCTGGGTACCAGTGTGCGTGATATGTGCATGGAGTTTTAAAAAGTGAATGGGCCAAAGCAAACTCTAAGGCATTAGAATCACTTTCATCTCAACCATCCAGACATCAGCTGAAAAAATAGCAGACAAAGAAGATATCACAGTGGGGTAAACATGTTTATTTTTGTTGTTTAGTGCTCCAAAGTATGGGTGAATAAAGGTACTGAAGTTTAGCAGCGCAAACGTAGTAGGAAAGAGATGGCACAGGTTGAGTTAAGAGAGATGTTCTGGTTTAATTTTTGACTTCACAGTCACTGCAGGACCAATTTCAGACATCCATTTTCCAAGAGCCTTTAGTTTTTGAACTTGCAGACAAAGGAGAACTTGTCCTCACAATCCATATCCCGCCATTTCTTGAATCCTAAATGCCAATGAAAAGAGTCAGGTTAAGAGAACTAGAAGTGTGACCCCTTGTGGCTTTAGGATTCAGGACAGGACACAAAAGAAAACACTCCTCCATTTCCTGGATAGGGATTTCACCTTTTCTCTATCCCCAGCCCCAAGGCCATTTCCACACAACAGATAGCAACAGGTGGTTGTATTCCCTGTCTCTCACCTGAGCTTGAAGTCAGACTCGCACAGTAGCCAGCACTTGCACTACTTGGAGCTCCAATGTCCCAGGATTTGTAGGAGACCAGGGACCCACTGCTCCAGTGCCAGCGACGGTTCTAAAGGGAGAAAGGATAGAACAGGATCAGTGATCACACCAAAAGAAAGGGAAGCAGTGAGCCTGTGTGCACATTCAGGAACACGCCAAGACATATTTTGTTGTCCTGCAAAATACCATATTATTTCCTACACATTTTTGAAGTTTCTCCTTTCCTAGGATGGACAACTCTTTCTACTGTTCCACCCATCAGTGTTGTGAATTTGATAGAGACTCATAAACCCTCTTATAGAAAGTGGTTCCTGAATTTTCTTTCCTGAGACCCACAGCCCTCACATCCAACATACCATTGGCTGCCCATTAGTTGTTGATATTGATTAAAACACCTGGGGGCTCAGCCTGTAATCCCAGCACTTTGGGAGGACGAGGTGAGTGGATTGACTGAGCCCGCGGGTTCAAGACCAGCCTGGGCAACTTGGCGAGATGGCATTTCTGCAATACATCAAAAATTAGCCAGGCGTGGCAGCACACACCTGTAGTTCTGGCTACTTGGAAGGCCAAGGCAGAAGGATCACCAGAGCCCAGCAGGCTGATGCTGGGGTGGCTGTGAGCGATGCCACTGCACTCCAGCATGGGCGATGGAGTAAGACTCCACCTCAAAGAAACAAAACAAAACAAGACAAAACAAACACCAGGCTTTCAAATGTCAGCATTAGGTTATCTGTGCCTAGTCTCTTTTTTTATCTAGTCTGCAAAGGGCCCTGTTGTGACACAGACAATAAGAAAAAAAATTAGAGATGTTATCTATGATAGTTTCCTAGCATAAGAAAGAACGAGTTTATACACGAATGCTTCTAACTTCAGGAAATTCAGCCTTCAGCTCATGACTGCAACCACCAACAATGAATGTCACTATTCTGGACATATGAGATCTATAGGAAGGTTGCATTTATGGAAGCAATAAAAGCTGATGGTTGAGACACCAGACTCGCTCGTCTTTTTTCTCTCTTAAGCCTGATTTGGGAGATAAAGAAGGCTGCAGACTGACCTTTTTGGGGTCGTAGAGGCCAGTCCAGACATTGAAGTGATCAGTGCCGCTTTCTTTAATCAGCGAGGCCACAAAAGCACCTTCGGCCTGAGTGAGCACAGACACCAGGTTGCCTGCATGCATGTTCTGGCAGTAGAGCTGTTGGGAAAGGAAATGAGTACTTAATGGGGGAGGAAGATTTAAGGGATCGACTGAGTCCTCCTAGGGATGTGGCAGAAAAGATCAGCACAGAAATGTTCTTGATATTGTCACTCACTGGCATCTCTGTGCTGAGAATGCACCAGATGATAAGACAAAGCAAATTTGAAAATTTGGGGTTAAGATGGGATGGGGGAAAATCAATCTCCCCTCGTGGCAGCCACTGAGCACACAGGAGAGTGTCAACTGCCTCTACCTTCGTAATCCTCCCCTTCCTTTCCCACAGCTCTGGTCACTCACATCTGCATCAACCCAGGTCTCGAGGTCTTCATTAAAGTAGTAGCAGTAGGAACGATAGGCATTGGTGCCCTCAGGACAGCTGATCCGGGCATTGGGCAGCTCTGTCTGGACCTCCTGGGCTGAAAAAGGAGGGGCAATAAAGGAGAGTGTCAGGGCACAAATAGGTTGAAGATGAAGAGGAAGCTTCTGAGGGTCCTTTATAGGCTCATAAGGATGATGTGGGTCATGGGATACCTACTCATTTCCACCTTCCAGTGTCCTTCATCTTTTTACTCAGGTTTTCTTTGCTCAAGACAAAAGTCTATCATAAATAAGCTAAAGAAAGATGTCCCCATTTCCCCCTTTAATTCCTGGAACTCAGACTTCTGTTTTTAAGTACTCAAACTTCTACCTTTCTGAAGCCTGTCTTAATTTCCCTGCACACAAGGCTCTCCTCAGTTCTCCTTTGCATTAATGACTCTTTGCATACAATATCCCTAAACCTACCATTGTACACATTTATCAGATAAACAAATGTCGACAACATTAGCAATTTAAAGGGGCCATTTAAAATTCTGTAACTCATGAAATGGATGTACTGAATGGGATGAGATCAGCAATAAAGATCTTCAAATATCACAAAGCAACCTCTGATGTTGACTCTACTTTTTTTTCCAGTGAACCCATATTCATGAGTTTGGAGTGAAGACTTTATGACTGTGGAAGGTGGTGGATGAAGGGGAAAAAAATACCTCACCTTGGCCTTGAGACAGGAGCATCAGGGAGGAGATCAGCATCAAGAATAATTTAGTCTGAGCCATGCTGAGAAGCAGTGAATCTCTTTCTTATGGAGCAAACCAACAATCTCTACAGCAGAACACAAGGAAGAGAGTTCTAAGAAGTGGTGAGGGGCCCACTATTACTTTTCATATAGCCCTCCTTCCTAGGAACTCCTGAGAACAGAAAAGCCACGTGAGACACCCGTACTCTCAAATATTTCTCTCAGTAGTTTGGGGATTATATGGATACAGTAGCCCAAGTGCTAGTTTTAGCTAGCACTAAGGCTACATTACTGCTAACACAATCTGGACAGAAACTCATGCTGTATCTTCCCAAAGATGTTAGATTTGCAGCCCATATTAGTCATGCCCTCCCCATGCAAAGCCCACTTACCTCCTGGTTGAATTTGAGGTTTCTTGTCAGGCCAGACAGTGGCAGGAGCTTTATAGCAGGCTCTGAGAGAAGAGCCACGTCATGTAAGGTACAGGAGGGGCAAGGAGTGAAGGTCCGTGGGCCTACATAGGGCACTGACACCAGGACAATCTGGCCTGAGCAGGAGGCTTTTCCTGGCACACGCTGGGAGTGGTCACAGAGGAGGTGCCCCTTCCCGCAAATGATTTGGCAGACTGTCCAAGTCCAAAGTGGACTTTGCTCTTTTCTAGCAGGAGACAAGTATCAGTGCACCTGTGCCTTAGCAGCTCAGAAAAGGGAAGCAAAGAGTAGATTTCCTTCTACTGTCTACAGATTTGGGGCCCTCTCTTTGGTGTTCGGCATGGGTGGAGGTTGGGAATGAATCAGTAAATTAAAGACAACTTGCTGGTGGCTTTAGGTGGTTCCTTCATTTCTCCTAGGCGTATGAACTTCTCAAGATCTACATCATGAAGCAAGGGTTACCAGTTCCATCAATTTAAACTAGCAAGCCCTGCAAAGTTTCACCTAGCAAAATACAGATAACAAGTGAACTCATACCATTTTTTTAAATAAAAAAATCATGTCTTTATTCTAACACTTTTAAACTTCAGTCCCCTTTAAAGTACTCTCTGTTTGATGCAGTACACCTATTGAGACACTTTTTCCACTGCTTAAAAAAGTTGTTGAACTCGTTAATTTGATGCCTTGTAGTGCTTCTGTTTTTTGTTTCACCTCTTTCACACTGGCAAAACTTTACCCTTTGAGGATTTTTTAAATCCAGTGAAACAAAAAAAAAAGTCACTTGGGTTGAGATTGGGTAAATGGAGTGGGTGGGGAATGGAGGTCATGGCTTTTGTGGTGAAAAACTACTGAACACTCAGCATGGTGTGAACAGGTATGCTCGTAAATCACCCATCATGCAATGGGCAAATGTGTTGGTTCTTAAAGAAAAAAAAATTGTTGAAGTCAAAAGTAGCCTCTCACAGCAATGCTAGCTCGTACCCTGATACCCATGAGCTCCTACAACACTTATCTAACAAGGGAAACTTGTACTACAAAGAGACCGGTCCTTCAAAATAACATTGCATTTTTCTTGGTGGGGGAGTCCCACCTTATAGTCCCAGAGTTCAATTTAGATGGGAACTGATGTTTCAGGAAGCTCAAAGTAGTTGAATATGAAATTCAACTTCATTGAAATTGTTGGTGTGAAATCAAAGCTAGTGTGGTGAAATTGAATACCTACCAGAATCATCATAGAATATCCATTTATAATTCAGGGAATAAAAGTCAATGCAAAATAAAAAAAATTAAGAAGAGACAATTAACCAAAATATTCACAGAAAAAGAGATATATACATTGGACTAATAGATAAACAGAATATTATTAAAAACTGTGCAGAATTTAAATCAAATAAGCTACATATATATTTCAACATGGACTGGTATCAAAAATACCATGTTGACTACGAATAAGTCGGGTGCAGGGAGTTAAAAAATACTTAATAAAATGTATGTATACTAAAAACACAGAGAGAAATACTAAAGATTATTTATTGATTAATTCTCATGTAGTTTAAAAAATAAAAATGTGAAATATATGGTTATTCATTAATATTTATCCCAGCATTTGGAAAATAATTTATAAGATTTTTGTTTTATAAAAACTAATGATTTTTAAATAATGATGACAAGTAATTATTATTATTATTCATATTTCTTTTTTTTTGAGTTGGAGTCTCACTGTCGCCCAGACTGGAGTGCAGAGTCCGCTCCCGGCCACTACAGCCTCGACCTGCTGGGCTCTGGCGATCCTTCCACCTCAGCTTTCCAAATAGCTGTAACTACAGGCGCGCGCTACCATGCCTGGCTAATTTTTTTTCATTTATTGTAGAGATGAGGTCTTGCCTGCCCAGGCGGGTCTTGAACCCGCGGGCTCAGGCAATCAACTCACCTCGCCCTTCCAAAGGCGCGGGATTACAGGCTGAGCCACCGAGCCCGGCTTATTATTCATATTTCATTGAAACCTTTTTATTAGCCTTTTGGATTAAAATGGAATTTAGGGTGATCCCATCATATTCTGCCAGAACCAGCAGATGGCCTCCTCTTTGCTGATTCTGTGTTTGGCCCCAGTGTAGCCTGTTCTGTGCTTGTTGTCAGTGATGCTGAAACCTGGTCTACCCAGCACCACAAAGAAGTCTGGGTCATAGATACCAATGCTTGGTTCATATTTGATACCCAGATCAATGTGTTCCTGGATCCCAAAATCAAAGTTTCCAGTATCTGAGATGTTGTTTTTTTTCTTAGCTCATACTCCTGCACCTTCGGTCCTTTCTCCGGGATTTTTTCTTCCTCGGCCCGTTGAACTGTGCAGTGGATGGCAACCTTTTCATTTCTCCTGATGCCAAAGGATCTGACAGTGTATCTAGCTTTGGAAAACACAGGAGTCTGACCTATGAGTGGCTCCGAAATCTTGGCTGCCTGGGTCAGTCTGTGTCCACTTTCCCCACACAGATATTGAGGCAGAGTTTGCGGATGTGAAGTTCCCACATGGGGTTCCCCTTTTCACCTTTATCCTGCACCATGATGGAGAACAGCAAGGGTGACAAATTTTAACATTGTTTATTCTGACAGCCTGGTTCAAGTACCTTTTAAAATTAATCTAATTTGTTTCTGCTTTTACTGAAAATAGCTATGTTTTTGTAAATGATCATAATTAGGAATGATTTTTTTCTTATAAATAATAGATTCAATTATATTCTTTAGTTACCAAAAAGTCCATGATATGTAGTACCATGACATGTTTCTTTTGCAAAAATGGAACAAGCAGTTAATTTTTAAAATATTATAACAAAATTCTTTGTTTATAACATATTTTGTAACTTTTTAAAAGTGTAATTTCAAATAAGTGATGACTTTCCAGGTATAAAATTCGAATAGCTTAAAATACATAATAAAATGCATTACAGCTAGCACAATACAAAACAGAGGTCCAAAATAAAAAATTTTCACAGTACTCCCATACAAATCTGTGTTGCCCCCAATAGCCCTAAACCCATTGAGAAGTTACACTAATTGCTTACATATGTGATTGGTCAAATTCCATATGGTGGTAATACAATTTAGAACTTATTGATAGTAGTGTTTGTTCCAAAGAAATGCCTTTTTTGGTCGAGCCATAAATCCCATTCCTTTAGGGTTTATTTCATTTACTTGAGGATACTCAAGGTCTATTTACCTAGTTTTACAAGGTTCCTAGAAGCTCATTTCAGTCCATTCCCTTCATATTTCCTCTGGAAGTCTTCTCATAGATGGAAAGGAGAATCCTGGATGTCTAGTGCTGATATGTCCCCAAGAGGGGTACTTTCTTGATAAAGCTAATTATGACTTAGAAAATTTCAAGGCTGTGGCTGATGTTTGGTGCTATTGGCCTTCTTTCAGCAGCTATTCCCTGATTTTGGCATTTGTAATAGTGATTTGGGACTTATGATAGAAATAATCTCCTTTTTATTTAAATCTTTGACAAGCATGTGAATAATAGCCTGTCTACAAACTATTTGACTGGCGAGGAGGAAAAACTGAAAAAGTAAGACATGGACCAAGGGTTTTCCATGGTCTTCTTGTAAAAGTAAGAAAACCTAACTATATCTCAGCATCTGCAAAAGTAAGAACACCTAACTATATCTCAGCATCTCTGCTTCACAGGAAACCTCTAGTTTATTTAATGCAAACTTTGATCACACGCTTCCTGTACCAGGCACTATTTTACATGCTTGACAAATAGGATTCCACTTAATCCCTGTGACATCCTGATAATATAAATACTATTAGAAATCATATTTAACTGGTGAGCTACCGGGCAATCCAGTCATCCCACTAATGGTAATATACCCATAGGAACACAAATCACTCTACCAAAAAGACACCTGCACATGCATGTTCATTGCAGCACTATTCACAATAGCAAAGACATGGAAGCAACCCAGATGTCCATCAAATGGATAAAGAAAATATGATACATATACATGATGGAATTCTATGCAGACATAAAGAAGAACAAAATCATGTCCTTTGCAGCAACATGAATGCAGCTGGAGACATCATTACAAACAGAAACAAAAAAACATAATACTGCATGTTCTCACTCCAAAGTGGGCCTGTAAACATTAGACATGTGACCACAAAGGTGGGAACAACAAATCCTGGGCACTTGTAAGGGGGAGGGAGAGATAAGGGACACACAACTTCTTACTGGTACCATGCGCACTACCAGGGGGAGAGAGGGCTTATTAGGAGCCCAAACCTTATCTGCATGCAATTTACTTATGCAACAAATCCTCACATGTACCTCTCCAACCCTAACAAAAAAAGAAAGAAAGAAAGAGAGATTAGAATAGTGGTTACTACATGTAAGGAAACATACAGGTAGGGGCAGATAGACAAAGTTTGGTTACAGAATACAAAAATTACAGTCAGATCTGAAGTATATAGTCTATTGTCCTAAAGGGTGACTATAATTTACTACAATGTATTGCATATTTTCAAGTAACTTAGGCGAGCAAGTTTGGAAAATTCCTAACAAATAAAACGATACTTATTTTATTTGAGGGAACAGATGCGTTAAATATCCTGACTGGACAATTACACATTGTATGCACAGATCAAAATAACACAATGAATC